CATGGTCCTTTGCCCTGCTCCTCTTGTGCCACCGCTTCTCACGTGGGGAAACCGTGGAGTTCCCAACCCATCTTCCTCCTTCCCCACCCTACAGCTGACATCGCTCGCAACATGGGTGCCAAGACGGTGATTGCCATCGACGTGGGCAGCCAGGACGAGACAGACCTGTGCAACTACGGGGACAGCCTGTCGGGCTGGTGGCTGCTCTGGAAGCGCCTCAATCCTTGGGCTGAAAAAGTCAAGGTGAGGATTAAGGAGACACGGGGACACCCGTGGGGGGGCAGAGCAGGGTGCTGAGCAGCCCATCCTGGCAGGTGCCCGACATGGCAGAGATCCAGTCCCGCTTGGCGTACGTGTCGTGTGTGAGGCAGCTGGAGGTGGTGAAGTCCAGCTCTTACTGTGAGTACATCCGTCCCCCCATCGACCGCTTCAAGACGATGGATTTCGGCAAGTTCGATGAGATCTACGTGAGTCAGGGGCGAGGGGGCTGGCTGGTTGGCTTTGGGACGTCAATGGGGTGTCCCACGTCGCGGGTTGGTGGGGTTCTTCAGCCATCATTTGGGGTGTCCTGGTCATTAACAGGATGTCCCGGTCACTAATGGGGTGCCCAGGTATGAATTGAGGTGTCCTGGCCACCTCTTGAGCACCCAACTGTGTGTCCTGGTCATCAGGTTTCATCAACCAGCAATGAGTTGGGTGCCCCAACCACCATTTAGGGTGTTTTGGCCCATCAGTGCCCGGGTCAGTGGGTTGGGTGTCCCAGCCATTAACAAGGTACAGCAGGCTGTCATTTTGGGGTGTCCTGGCCGTTTTTGGTGTTCCCCAGCCCCTGATAGGGGTGTCTTCGCCTTCAGTTGCGTGCCCTAGCCATCATTTGTGTGCACTGACCATTAATGTGCTGACTGAACTATCACCTAGGCTTGTCCAGACCATCATTTGTGATGCCCAAGCCATCAGTGGCAGTGTCCTGGTCATCACTTGAAGTCCTTGGGTCATCATTCGTGGTCCCCATGTCATCATTTAAGGTTTCCTGACCATTATTTGGGTGTCCCAGGCAAAAGTTGGGTGCCCTTTACCATTGGTTGGAATGTCCTTGCCATGGGTTGGGATGCTGTAGCCATCAGCTGAGTGCTTGGGCCATCCTTCGAGCCTCCCAAAGCCATCATTTGGTTTACCCAAGCCACCAACGAGTTGTGGCCACGCTCTCCCCACAGGATGTGGGCTACCAGCACGGCAAATCGGTCTTTGATGGCTGGAGTCAGGGTGACATCATTGAGAAGATGGTGAAGGACCGGCGCTCGGCCGACTTCTATGAGAGCAAACGCATGGATGTGAGTTGGCTCTGTGGGCAACAGGAGCAACAGGAGTCCCAGGACACCCATCCTCCTGCTCCCTTGGGCCACGCCACCTCTTTCCATCTCGTCCCCTCCTTGTTACATCCGTTTATCCCTTCCTTGGTCCGTTCTTCTGTCCCCACTTCCCGTCCCATTCAGACCGCCATGGTTCCCCCAAAGATGCTCACATGCATCTCCAAGATATCCGGTCTTCTCAAAGAACACCTGAGATTCTCAAGGCCCCATTGGGCCACTCGAATTTCTACTGGGCCATTCAAATTCCCCAAGGGCCACCCAGGTCCTGAAGGACACCCGAGACCACAGGGACACCCCAGTCCCTCATTCAACTTCCACGAGGGATTTCCAAGTGTAAAGGACACCCAAATCACCCTTTTTTCCCTCTTTGTCCCCTTCCTCCCCATCACCCACCTCACGTCCCCCATCCTCACCCCTCTCCCATTTGGGGGTTCCATCTGACGGACCCCCTTTCCCCCCATAGGTGCTCACGTACCCCAGTGCTGGTTTCACAGACCTGGCAGAGATCATCTCCCGCATTGAGCCCGCCAAGCCCTACCCATCGGATGGATACGCGGATGGTGAGCTCCCATCTCACAGCCTGGGGCTGGGGGCTGCATTCAGGCCCTAAAACCCTTTTTTTTCCCCTCCCTTCTGCTCCCGTTAGAGGAGTCTGACTACCTCACCGAGTACGAGGACGAGGGGCCGGAGCTGTCGCGGGGCGAGGAGGAGGCATTTGCCCCAACAGAGTGGCCTGGAGCTGGTGTGACAGAGGCTGTGAGTGCCCCTGGCCACGGAGACCCTCCAAAATGGGCTGACCCTGGGCTTGGGGCTCCCGATGGTGCCCTCACCCCATGCGTGGGGGGGACGTGGGGCGAGTCCTGTCCCCATGTTGTGGAGAATCCCTGAAATGGGGTGTCCTGGGGGTTCCCCATCCTGGTATCTCCATCCCCATGTCCCTACACAAATGTCCCTACACAAATGTCACCATCCCAGTGACATCATCCTGGTGTCCTCACCCCTGCGTCCCCATCCTGACATCCCCATCCCGGTGTCCCTATCCTAATATCCGTGTCCTAACATCCCCACCTTGGTATCTCTGCTCCGGTGCGCCCATTTTGGTGACCCAATCCTAATGTCCCTTCCTCAGCGTCCCCATCCCAATGTCCCCATCATCCTGCTGTCCTTTCCCCACTATCCCCATTTCGGAGTCCCAGTTCCAGCATCCCCATCCTGATGTCCCTATCCCAACATCCCCATCCCAACATCCCCATTCCAGTATCCTCATCCCAGCATCCCCATCCTGATGTCCCCATCCCAACATCCCCATCCCAACATCTCCATCCTGATGTCCCCATCCCAACATCCCCATCCCCATCCTGATGTCCCCATTCCAGTACCCCCATCCCAACGTCCCCATCCTGATGTCTCCTTTCCAGTATCTTCATCCCAACATCTCCATCCCAATGTCCCCATCCCAACAGCCCCGTCCCAACATCCCCATTCCAGTGTGCCCATCCCAGCATCCCCATCCTGATGTCCCCATCTCAACATCCCCATTCCAGCATCCCTATTCTTATGTCCCCATTCCAGTATCCTCATCCCAACATCCCCATGCTGATGTCCCCATCCCAACATCCCCATGCTGATGTCCCCATCCCAACATCCCCATTCCCATCCTGATGTCCCCCATCCCAACATCTCCATCCTGATGTTCCCCATCCCAACATCTCCATCCTGATGTCCCCATCCCAACATCCCCATCCTGACATCCCCATTCCAGTACCCCCATCCCAACGTCCCCATCCTGCTGTCCCCACCCCAGTGACCCCCACATATCCCCTCTCTCCCCAGGATGAAGAGAAGACCCTGCGGCACCGCCCCAGCCCGGCTCAGCCCTCCTCTTCACCCCCCACCTGAACCTGGAAGGCACTGAAGGACCCCAGCAGCCCCCACTTGCTGCCCCCCAGCACTACCTCCGCACCCCGGGGCCCCCCACCCCTCTTTGTGGCTGCTTCCCCAGCCAGAGCGTAGCCCCATGGCGCTCCCCACCCACCCAGGACTGTCCCCATGCTGTCCCCAAGTTGTGGGGTCACAGGGGGGGGTTCCAGGGACCCTCCTTTTCCCCCCCATCCTGCACTGTTGCACTGGCCCAAATCCCCCCCCCGCAGGACCGACCTCGTGGTGGTGGGGAGGAACGACTGCTGTATATTTTCTTTTGGTTTTGTTTCGTTCTGTTTTGTTGGTTTGTTTCATTTTTTTAATTATTGTTATTTAAAAACGAACCCAGCCTTGTTTTTATGGGGGAAGCAAAAGCGGGTGGGCAGTGACACGGGGACAGCCAGCAGCAGGTGACACCCACAGCATCACCGCACCGTGCAGGGCAGGGACACGTGGGGGGGCCTGGGGTGGGCGTGGGGACAGGGACAGATGTGGAGACCCTTGGGGACACCTGGCACCTCCGTGGTTTGTCACCACGATGGGACAGCCAGCGCCGCTACCGACCGTGGGACATTTGGCACTGCCATGGGACTGCCACCACTGCCATGGGACTGCCAACACTGCCATGGGACTGCCAACACTGCCGTGGGACACCTGGCACCACCTCGGGACTGCCACCGTCACCTGGGAACAGCTGGGGGGGACATCCCCACTATGGGACAGCCACCACTGTCTTGGGACAGCTGTCACCACCATGGGATTGCCACCAGTGCCATGGGACAGCTGACACCACTATGGGACAGCCACCATCATCTTGGGGACAGCTGTCACCACTATGGGACTGCCACCAGTGCCATGAGATACCTGGTATCACTATGGGACAGCCACCACCACCTTGGGACAGATGTCACCAATATGGGACTGCCACCACTGCCATTGGACACCTGGTACCAACTTGGGACAGATGTCACCACCATGGGACAGCCACCATCATGGGACAGCTGTCACCACCATGGGACAGCCACCAGTGCCATGAGATACCTGGTATCACTATATAACAGCCACCACCACCTTGGGACAGTTGTCACCAATATGGGACTGCCACCACTGCCATGGGACAGCTGTCACCATTATGGGACAGCCAGCATCATCTTGGGACAGCTGTCACCACCATGGGACACCTGGCATCGCTATGGGACAGCCACCACCACCTTGGGACAGATGTCACCAATATGGGACTGCCACCACTGCTATGGGACAGCTGTCACCATTATGGGCCAGCCACCACTGCTATGGGGCACCTGGTACCAACTTGGGACAGCTGTCACCACTATGGGATTGCCACCACCACCATGGGACAACAGGCACCACTATGGGACAGCCACCATCATCTTGGGGACAGCTGTCACCACTATGGGGCAGCCACCACCCCCATGGGCCATCCACCATGGCCATGGGACAACTGGCAACGCTGTGGGACATAGTGCAGCCATGGGATGCCCATCACCCCACAGGGCTCCCATCATCACCCCACAGGGCACCCATCATCACCCCACAGGGCACCCATCATCACCCCACACCCCACGGCGGTGCCCCCACAGCCGGGTGCTGTGGCTGAGGCTGACGGATGCTGATAGCACCCAGCTCTTCCTGCAGGGTGTCCTGTCCCCTCCCCCTCCCCCCTCCTCCCCCCTCCCTCCTCCAGTGGGTCCCCTTTTGTCACCCTGGGGACGGCCAGCTGCACTGTGGGTGCTGGGATGGGTGTGGGTGCACAGCAGGGATGTGCTGGGCGTGGGGACATCGTGGATGTTGGCACGGGGACACTGCAGGCTTGGGGACATCTTGGGGGTGGGGATGGCAGTGGATGCTCCCTGGGCATGGGGACACGGGGGACACGACAGACACTGCCGTGGGGTCACCCTGGATGCCATGCTGGGTGTCCCCCAGTCCTTCCTCTCCCCACATCTCCCCCACCCATGGGTGCAGCCTCCAGCACCCGTTGTGCACCATGACGGTCAGTGTCACCTCCAGTCCAGCCCTGGGGTGTAGGGATGGAGCTGTGGGTGCTGAGGGGCCCCTTTTGAGGCCCACCCCCCTGGGTGGGGGCACATCCTGTCCGTCCGTCCCCCCCTTTTCTCAGCTCTTATCAACGAGGACAGACATGAGGACAGTTCATTGGTGACGGGAGGACGATGTATGGCAACATCGAGTCTGGGCAGCCCAGGCAGGGGCAGGAGTGGGGGACAGGAGGACCCTGTGGGGACAAAGGTAGGTGGGGGGTGGGGGGGGCGGGGGGGTTACTGAGGTGAGTGGTGACAACCAGAGGTGGGGGCAGTCCCTAGGATGGGCTGTGGCACCAAGGAGGGTTCCTCATCCCCAAAACAGATCCCCAGGGTTGGTGGCAGCCCCCTGCCCCCATTTCCATCCCCAGTGCCCACGCCTGGGGCAGATCCCCCCATCTCCAGTGCCCAAGGGGGGGTCCCAACATGGTGACACCAGGGGGGACCTCTTATTTAGGTGCTTGACGAGGTGTCCCCAGGCTTGGTGGTGGCACCAAAGGTGACCCCTGTTTCCATCTTCCATGTCCCAGTGCTCATGGAAGATCCCTGGGGCAGACCCCCCCATCTCCAGTGCCCAAGGGGGGGTCCCAACAAGGTGACACCAGGGGGTGGGGCCTCTCCTTTAGGTGCTTGACGAGGGATCCCCAGGCTTGGTGGTGGCACCAAAGGATCCCCTGCCCCCATTTCCATCCCAAGTGCCCACCCCTGGGGCAGATTCGTTCATCTCCAGTGCCCAAGGGGGGGTCCCAACATTGTGGCACAGGGGGGGACCTCTCATTAAGGTGCTTGATGAGGGGCCACCAGGCTTGGTGGTGGCACCAAAGGGTCCCCTGCCCCCATTTCCATCCCCAGTGCCCACCCCTGGGGCAGATCCCCCCATCTCCAGTGCCCAAGGGGGGGCCCTCAGCATGGTGACACTGGGGGGAACCCCTCATTTCGGTGCTCAGGGTGTTTGGAGGTGGGGGTTGGGGGGGGATCCCCCATGAGTGCTGTCCCCTCCACAGCCTGCAGTGACCTGAACCCCATGGAGGAGAACCCCTATGAACCTTTGGACCCCCCCATCACTGCTCCAAGCCCAAAGCACGCACCTGACCCCCCAGGTATGGTGTGGGTGTCCCATAGGGACAAGGCAACGCAGCCCAAATTGGGGTCCTGCCTCCCCATCGGGACCCCTTGTCACCTCCCCCAGTGTCCCCAACGTGGCAGAGCTGCCCCCAGGACAGGCTGCTGCTGGTGGGGGCTGTGGCCCTGGGGGTCTCAGTGCTGCTCAACGTCTTCCTCCTCTCCCTTGGGACAAGCAAGAGTGAGTATGGGGTCTGCGGGGCTCAGCAGAGGGGTCCCCAACCTTGGGGAATGACCTGGGGCAGAGTGAAGGTGCTGGGGGGGCTCCTTGGGGGCTCCCCAACATTGGGAGGTGATGTTGGAGGGCAGAGCTGGGGCTCTGGGGGTTTCCATAGGGGCTCTCTCACTTTGGGGGATGTTGACACAATCCTGGGTGGGGTTGGGGTCCTGGGGGTCTCCATGGGGCTCCTCTGTTTTAGGGGGTGATGCTGGGGCTGTGGGGGCAGAGTTCAGTGCTGGGGGGCTTTGTGGGGGCTCTGCAATCCTAGGGGATAATGCTGGGGCAGAGTTTGGGTACCTGGGTCCCCATAAAGGCTCCCCGACTGTGGGGGATAATGTTGGGGTGCTGAGGGGCTCCATGGGGTTTCCACACCCTTGGGAAATGAAGTTGGGTTTGAGTTGAGGGTTTTTGTTTTTTT